CAAGAAATCAACATTTTCAACAAAAAGTTTCCAAAAAAATCATCGAAAAATTATTGAAATTGCTGATTTGTTGTACAACTATACATTCCTTCATTATTCATTCGGAAGAGCTTGGAAATTTCAAAAATTCGGAATTTTTTTAAAAAAAAATGCAAATGAGCTCACATCTGGTCCTTGGAAGAAAACCATAACTTTGCCAATATCGTAACGAGGCTTATGTTCTTGAGTTTTCACATCCATCACTGTCTTGTAGTCAGTATAAAATGGTGATCCCACGATGATATCGTCGTAACTGAAAAACGGCACAAAACTTCCTTCTTTTTTTCACATAGCTTTAATTAATTAAATTTCAATTAGCAGCCAATAATTCAATTTCTCTGGAATAATTCCTTACCTCAACTTTAGCTTCAAAACTGATCATGATAAATTTAACAACTTGCTAACATTTTGCTCACCCATCATTATTCAAATCAGTAACTGCCACAGCAGCACCAAAGAATTGCCCTTTCTGGCCATTTTTATCAGTTAGATTCTTCAGTGATACTAATTTGTGATTGAAAATGTAAACCTGAAAATCAATTTTGAAATTTCAATAAATTACACAGAACACAGCATTAAAAAAGCTTGCATAAATGCGAGAAATCTCTAATTGGGATGTTGTTTTCAAAAAGTAAACGCATTATTTCCGGTTTTTCAAATTTCGAACAGCACTTGTGAATAGCTATTAATTCAGGAATTGTTTCGGTGGATGAATTTGCTCACGATGAAACACTTACAGCACCAATAAGGTCATTGCCACGTGGTACTCCAGCAACTACATCTTCCACATTATCACCATCAAAATCACCTGCGGCCAATGAATAGCCTATAATTTAGATACGAATTAAGTTCACAATTACTTTGAATAGTTCTAGTTTCGAAGATGAAATTTATTTGATTTATACTAAAATTCGAGAAAAGTAAAGATTGAGAAATCAAAACCAAGAATTAATTGCAGCGAAATGTTAAATTAGATCAAAGTTTCAATTCAAATTGTCGTTTTTAACTCAAACTCACCAAGATTGTAGTTATCATGATGTGCTGGACCATCACGCGTATTTGGTCGATCGAATTGATTGCGGACGCTTTGTGCAAAGACTGTACCTTGCCAGTAATATGCACCAGGAGCACCGATGTACAATCGCTCATTACCATCATCAGGAATTGTCGCGCTGAACCCGCACATTCCGTATCCGAAACGATGATGGCCATGACGAGCAGCTGAAATTCAAATCAATTTAGAAATCAGTGTAAAACTAAGACCTAAATTTCGAAAACTGATGAAAGCATTGAATTTATACGTACGTTCTTGCCGGCATGAAGCAAATTCCTCAATTTTTTCGAAGCCATTTGTTGCATAAAAACATGTTCCAACAGGTTCGACAACTTCAAACTTCGAAAAGAAATACTTGTAGTGAGGAGCACAAACCTGTAAATCCAATTCGACAATCTGTCAGTGATGATTTTATTTCTTTTTTTTTTGGAGGGGGGGGGGGGAGACAGGGGAGGAAATGAACCTATGTCCAGTTGTTATTCGTTTCATAACTATCAGATAGATACTGGAGAAGGTAAAAAATTGGAAGCTAGCAAAAAGTTTATACTAACAATAACAGAATCGCCTTTCTTGGATACTCTAACGGTGGCACCCAACATTTGACCCGATTTCTCTTCAATTTGTAAAGAATGAGATCCATTGAGTCGTTTCTCGTTACCTGCAATATGACTTGGAAAAGTCTCATTGAAAATATGAACTCTCAATACAAGTCAAGAAGAGCATAGTTTATTAATTAATTAACACTATGTGTTTATAAGCAGGCGGACTTTAATCATAAGAATTAAATATTTAATTCAAATGTTTGTTTCTTTTTTGCAGGGCAATAGGAAAAACTTGGATAAAACTCGGTTTTCTTTTTTCAAATTTTAAATTCCAAGTTTTCCCCCTTTAGATTTGAAATTTCAATTTTGTCTTTTAGATTTTAAATTTCACAATGCACTTTTTAAGCGGACACACTTTATGATTGCATCTTTTTTTGTCGAAATCCAAATTTATTCGATTTATTAAATTTATTGTTTTAGATAGGATCTCTTTTTCAACGAATGTCCCTCCTACGATTTCTTTTATCAAATCAATTTCTCCCATGTCCATTTCTACGACTGCACATTTGCGAATTAGTGCATCTTACATTACAGACTATTCCTCCAATGAAAAATTTTGGGAAATAACAGCTTAAAATTTTAATCTGTGATTGAATTTCTTTCGCTGTCACGAAATCCATTCTAAATATCAGTTTGATCATCCTATGATAAGAGCAATGATACGGTGAGATATGCTTTCGTAATCTTAAAAGCAACCGAGAAGACAATATTGCAAGTTTGTCAACGAAGTTATGGGAGTTATGGAAGTGACTAATAATAACCCAAATCAGGTGATCCAAGAAGGCCATTATACTAGTCCGCTGATTGAATACACTTATCAATCAGACAAGTTTCAGTTGGAAAAAAAAGATGATTTAAATATGTATTGTAAATTAATCACATTTAAGTGTCTGATTAGTGCATTAGATTAACAGTGATTTTCAACTCCCAGTGCGGTATTCTGCAACATTGTACGGTTCATAAAATTCTGTTCTGGAAACTATCAATCTTCACAGGAAATGATTCGGGTATCAGTAAACATATTTCACATCCCACTCATCTACGCGATTAAAAATTTCATAACAACTAAACTGTTCACCTTTGTTCCGTATCATTCCCATTCCGGAATTCCGTCATATTCACACTTTCATCATAATCAGTTCTATCCTTCTCTCTTAATTTTTAATCCATTTATCAGTAACTATTTCGGAACAATGATATGTGAATACAATAAAAGACGCGCGAAACCAGAGCGAAATGTCAGATAATAGGAATTCACCTAGCCAGCAGTTAGGAGGAGGAGTAAATTGTTAGAAATCACCTTCCGGTTAACTTGTTTTAGTTTCAGAAAAAGTACCTGCGTAAGATTAACAGAAAAAGGAATGCAAATATTGATTTTGTTAGACAAAAAAATAGATCAGTGATATCATCATTCTGAGCAAAAAGTTAATTATTAAGCTTGAGTTATTGCAAGTTTGAATCAAAGTTTACAAAAGCTACCGAAAGTTTTCTATTGAAATATCAATAAATGGAATCATTTCGAATTCGTTAATTTAGTTTTTCCGTAATAAATCTGTCAGTTAGTTGACAAATCGATGTCATTCTGCTCATATTGCACTGGGATTATTAGCGCTGTTAACTCATCAAATACATAAATAAGACTGCGATTACATGAATGTCTAATGGTTTTTGTTATTTTGGCTATTATAATGAAAATGCTAATCAATTATTGTGTCCATTGTCTTCAAGCTAAATATGCCAATAACCGACAGTGCTGCTTGGTGACAGGAAAATATGAGGTTGCAAGATATTTTGGAGAAACATGACAGGATGTATATAAGAATGAAGTAAGTTAAAATAAGGAGAAATTAAGAAAACCAAATGAGCATTTAGTGTAAATATACCTCCTTGTTTCTCACGGAGCGCATATGTCTCAGCCCATGATAATTTGATTCAGTAGGAAAGATACTGGGGAGGAGCGGGGAAAAATGTTGTCAATAAAAGATCAAGCTATTATAGTAAAATGTTGATCTATTATTCTGTCTATTGTCCTCAAGCCGAATATGCTCAATTTGACAATGCAAATATCTCAGTGTTTAGAACAATTGTTTAGATATAGAGTTGATAAGCTTAACAATGATAACTGCGCGGGAACTTTCGTAATTATGTATAGTTCTTCAACAGCTTTGGAGAAGGTTATCTGGAAAAGGCGAAAGATGAAGAATAGAGCTTTTAAGATGGAAGGAGAAGAGAATATGAAATGAAGTTGGAGAGAGGGTAACGAGGAAGTGAGAATGGGTAACCGGTAACTATATCGACGAGGGTAAAAGATAAGTTCATAGGATAATGACAAATAAAATCCTAGCAATAAAAAAGCAAAAAATTAGATTTGTTTAAATCTTCAAAAAAAAAAAACAAAAAATTCATCACATTTTGGAAACATTTATTGATCTCTTCGGATTGCTTTCTATGTAATCCGAATTTGCAAATTTTAGCCGTAATTCTCATTGAATAATATTCTGGCATATCTCAGGGATAGTAAACAATAAAACAATAAATCTTTCATTTCAGAAATTTAACGATAGAATCACCGCAAAGGAACCTCTCAGATGAATTTCCCAGAAATCCAAAGAAGACAAACTGTTAAATTATGCAAATTTAACGCGCTTATAACAACCAAATGTTTTATACAACTTGACTTTCTTTTAACAAATACTCGACAGCAGGAATTTGTCTCATTTTATCTTAAATTTTTCAAAAAAAATTTATCACCTTTTCGATCGAGGAAAATTTCCGAGCAGAGTGATTTTTCCACAGAACATCGAAATACAGCACCACCATTTTTGACACCTGGTTGTCTGGCACCACTGTTTGCTTTTGGTGAACCAACAAGTAAACTACAAATTTTTTTTTATTTGTAGTTGAATGCAAATATCGGTGAGTTAGTCTAAGGATGATCCATTCATTCAATTATTTTGTCATTTCAAATTTTGATAAGTTTGGTAAAAAAAAATCGACAAAATTCCCTCATTGAAAATAAAAACTTTCACTGCTTGTTTCCTAAATTAATCACTACTGAGTCATGTCATTTAAATTTCATGAATGATACAGTTTGAAATTGAGCTTCTAACAACTTTGGTTTTTCAAATGTCATCAGAATTCACGTCAGCTTGGTGCAACTAATTACTGCAAATAATAGATGATGAAAAATATTAGATAAAAAACTTTTCAGCAATAATTTCAAATTAAAATTATTCAAAATTTGATCTGCATAAATTAATCATCTAAAGTATTCTACGCATAATATTCCCCCATTGTTAATGTAAGGTGAAAATCTGGTAATGATAATTTCTCAAATATCCCCTACTTTAATTAGATCCTTTATTTGTTTAAAAATAAGCATCAGATATTGAAACCTTCCTTCCGGTTTTTATCCCCATCCAATTGTCTCTTACAAAAATCGGTCTATACTACGAGCAAAACGGATTCTGTAACATGTTTTCACTTAAATCATTCAATACTGTGTAGATTAAAAATTCATTCAACCGTTTAATGTCAACTATCCACCAGTTTCCATTCATGCAAATATTACACCCTTTGTGTGTGTCATCCTAAATTTCAATTTTAAACCTTCATGTCATATGAATTTGAGTGCCAAGCGAATCAGGACACTCGAGTATTTTTACTCTAAGAAAGACGGCTATGTAAACATTACTTTTATTATCAACAAATGCTAACTTATTCGTTATTATATGTCAAACAGAGAAAAATCGGGAAACTGAACAATAAATGAAGGAAAAACAACTAATATAAGGTGAGTGATTTTTTTGAAAAAAAAATCTAAGAACAACAATATTTTATTATTTTCGAAACCTTAGGTTTACTCTTTTTAAATAACTACTCTCATGCAAAAGTAAATATTAAATCATTTCGAAGTATTACGAGAATGTTTGCTAATAACCAGTGATTTCTCGAAAAGGCATCAACCTTAATTTTGAAAAACTTTGTCATCAAGTATTTCAATCAAATTTCAAGGACACAATTGGTTCATGAGCAACATTGTATTTTTTCCAAAAATAAAAATGACATGAATCCGACTGTAAATTAATTAAGTTAATGAATCTTAACCATTCAATTGGTCAAATTATTTATTTGTTTATTTGGATATTTTAATTTGACCGCTTTTTTCTTCAATTATTCATCCTAATGAACTCAATTTATTTTTACTAAAATGGCACTAGCTTTTCTAATTCTTAACTTATTTTGTCTGCTAAAAATCTTAATCTATTGAAATCGAGAAAAAATTTTTGTAAACTTTCAAATAACAAATATATATTTCAATAAGTAGGAAGTTCACGAGCAAATCAAGTTTTCAATTTTAGTTTTTAATTTAGTTTTTTGAAATTTTTTCTTTTAATTTTCAATAATTAATATCTAACCGTTATTAATTCATCAAAAATCATAAGAGTTTAAATTAATGTAAATATGCAGAAATTTAACATCTTGATAATGAAAGAGATGATAATACTTACAGTGTCATTCCTTCATGCTGATAAAAATCAATTGAATAACCAAACATCGAATTAGCACTGCTTCGATGAATTACCGGATGTCTAACGTCGATATTGAATGAAACAATAATTGTTATTGAATTAAGCAGATAAATTAGAATAAAAAATAATAAACGAAAAGATGTCATATGAAGTGTCAGATCAAACATTGCGTGGCTTTTACCTGAAATTAATCAATTTAATTTTTATTACGGAAGAAAAAAAATTGGAAAAGGTATTGTAACATATTAAAATATACCCTAAAATCAGTGTCCACTCATATAAATTGATAGAATTTCATGGTCAATTTTGGTTCATAGTACATTTCAGCTTACATACATATCATTAGCATAAAATGAGTCACTTCTAAAATGAGGAATTCATTTCTTCCCATTTAACATTCAATATTCAAATACACTCCATTATTCGTCTTATCACAAATAGTACAGCAATAGTATCAACTCGTTGCAAATTCATTTCAATAAGACAAGAAAATGAGAGAGAAAAGATGTGACTCATAATGAGACACTAAGAATGATGTTTGAATTTGTTTATGAATAATACACTGATACTTTAACTTTATTACCACAAATCAATATTTAATCAATTTCGAAATTTGTCTTAAAATGTTTTCATGTTTGATGTCTTTTTTTTTTTTTTAAAAATGTCAACATTATAGAAATGCATTAGTGAAGAAAGGAAGCGGAAAGTGTTGAATAGAATGATCTCAACGAATGAATGAGAGAGCATTAGTAACATTTCTCATCTTTAATTAATCAAAAAATGAAAATATATAAATTGAATTTATTTATTTGATTCTTTTTCTTTTTTGAGATATTTCTGTAATTAAGTCCTGTGTCATTGATGAGAAATATTTCTATTAAAATATGTCGGATAAAATTTACCATATCTATTTCATTTCCCGTCAATAAGCAATCAGTCAGTTCTGGTATTAAATCTGATATCTTGATATCACGTAATTAATTATGGCGTTTATGTATATTCAATACTTAAAGATGAAGTTTTTCCTTATTACTTCATGAAATTATTCTTGCAGGTAAATAACTTCAAAGGTAAAAGTGAAATTCAAGAATGAAATACATATTTCCGTTAAACATTTGATCATATCCATCCGTTCAGTAGAATGTGAAGGGCATAATATCCGAAAGTTCTTTTTTTTCTTATCAGAAGCAATTAATTGATAATAAATTCCTCAGAGTTAAATAATTATCACTAATGCGTTTTGTATATTCAGCAAAAAAAAAAAAAAAAAAAAACGGTAATTCTTTGAAATTTTTAAAAATCAAAATTAATTCGTTTAAATAAAATAATAAAAAGAAAAATTCGAATTAAAAAACATTTATATAATGAACATTTAACAAATATTAACAACAATAAAGTGAAAAAGAAAAAGAGGAATAATGATGCAAGAAATGATTCATAGTAACCGTAATGAAAGAATATAAAAAGATCTTAATGTCGAGTTAGTCTTCCATCCATCCCTTCCGGTTTTATTTCCGTGTAAATTTTACAAAGAAATAGAAAGAAGAGAGGGTATGCGACAGAAGCACTTTTTAAACTAACCCTCTCCGCCTCGAGCTATCGATTTCAAAATGCATTCTCCTCTCTGCACTTTCCACATCATTCATTGAAAAAAAAAAGAAAAAACCGTAAGATATTTGGATTTTAAGGAAATTATCAAATATTCTGAAATTGAAAAATGATAATATCACTGATTTGATGAGTGGAAAAGATAAAATCATTGTATCACTGAATTTTGTTTCTATATTATATTTATTTAAAAAGTTATCATAGTTTTTGAGTATAATTATTGAAAATATTAATTTTCGCTGTCTCATTTGTGACCTTTAGTCTGCTATCCTTATCAAATCTTATCATATCAAAAGTGCTTATCAAAAATTTGGAGGACATAAGGACAACAAGAGATAGAACATATTTCAAGTGTACTAAGCTTTGTCGATCAAAAAAGTACTTATATTCTTAAAATCATTGGAGAGCTTAAAACTTTCCTCATTTCTAGCGCAAATAGACCAAAGACGGATGACGCAAAATTATGTCGTTATATTTGTTAAGGTATTTATGCAAAATTTTATACTTAATTGTTTTGTACCTCCCTGCACTTAATTATACTTTATCCTTGCACTGCACTTTTTGAACAATACCATTAGCGGAAAAGTAATAGCAATAATGTCACAATTGGAAAATACGCTAAAGTATTGACAGCATGTGACACTTTCACTAATAAAAAAAATAAAATTTTTTTTAATATCAATCAATGATTGCGAAACAATTTTGCAAGGAATTTTAAATCTATGATATGGTGGAAAAACCAAACTTAATAATTAGTAATTATTAATTGGTGAATGTGAAAGAAGAGAGAGAAAGGGTTGTAAAGGATAAAAGTGGACAGTTTTGTCACTTTAGTAACAAGAATGAATGCGAATTATTGGAAATTAATAACAAAAATGTCGAACTCGAAAAGATTCACATAATATTTCAAAACTTCGAACTTTTAATTTATAAATTTTCCACCAAATTTATCATTAGAAAGTTAAATTTTCTTGTTAAAATAAAAAGAACATGAAAGTCTTCCGATGTAATCAGATTTGATATAAATAAAGGTAAACTTTTTAAGAGAAAAGTGATTGATTTGTTCGAAAATAAATTGATAATTGATTAAATAATTATCTAATTAAATCATAACCAAATTAGAATTAAATAGGAAATCAAAATTTGCATAGGTATAGTTGAAAATCAACATCTATCCAACCCTTCATCCTCATTGAACCATTAGCCCTCTCATTTTCTCATTTTCTGGTTTGCAGAAAGGTTAATTCTAAAATAATGGAATAGATCAATGATGAATTAAGAAACAGAAAATGAAAAAGATAGGAAGAGATCAATTATATCTAACATCACAATCAATAATTCTTAAGAAATGTTGCTGTAAAGAGAGTGGATGCATTCCTCCCGAGAAATTCCACTTTTATCTTTTAATAAACTCTATCAAAAGATTTGTGAGACGAAGAAGAAAATGAAATAGATAAAACTGGCAATGGGAATTAGTAGTAGCAGTATTGAGTAGTATAAACAAAATAGAAAGTAGTAGTAACGGAAGGTCGTGATGCAGAAAGTGACGGCATGTGGGAGGGAGAAAGGAACGATAATCAGTGTGGATGGATCGGGCTGGATCAGATCGGGTTATTTAGCACTCGAACAGCTGCTCACCAAAATCATACATTCTCTGTAAATACACTCTTTTAGCTTTTATAAAATAATATTTTACTATGTCAAATGAATGGTATTATTAACAAAAATCTAATGGTACTTTAAGAAAGGGGCAAAAAAAAAAGAAAACAGTCCTGATACCATTTGCTTTTCTTCTATTGAAGCTCATTTTCAATTCCTTCAAACAATCCCGTTTTCCGGATTTCTTATTTTGATCTAATCCTGATAAGTATCATACTGCAATATGCTTTTCAAATAATATTTATTAAAAATTTTTCCTCTATAGCTAAAAAAAAGTTTAATTTTAAAAATTCATATGTATGATTCATTCCTCTAAAAATGATTTCGATTGGTA